TTTTAATTTTCTTTTTTTTTCTCTTTTTAAAAAATTTTTCTTCTTTCCTTTTTCAACCAACTTATCAAATCCTTTTTTAAAATCTTTTTTTAGGGCGCCTGGGTGGCTCAGTTGGTTGAGCGACTGCCTTCGGCTCAGGTCATGATCCTGGAGTCCCGGGATCGAGTCCCGCATCGGGCTCCCTGCTCGACAGGGAGTCTGCTTCTCCCTCTCCCACTCCCCGTTTGTGTTCCCTCTCTCGCTGTGTCTTTCTCTGTCAAATAAATAAATAAAATCTTAAAAAAAAAAAAAAAAAAAAAAAAATCTTTTTTTAATTTTCATTTTTATAGTCATAGTCTATCCCTTCACAGCACTTAACCATATTTTTGTGTATATATATGTTTTTCTTTCCTTACAATTTTGGGATGCAGTCCTTCTAACAGACCAAAATACACCCAAAATCTAGTGTATGGCTCTGTTCTAGTTACCCGCTGATCATATTCTCTCTTTTTTTCTTTTCTCCCTTTTTTGTTTTGTTTTGCTTTGTTACAGCCTTTTTAAATTTTCATCTTTACACTTATATTCTATCCTCTCAATGTATTTAATTTAATTTTATTTTTGTACATATACAAGTTTTTCTTTTTTCACAAATTTGGGATCTAGTCTTCTAAAAAAAAAGACCAAAATACACACAGAATCCAGCGTATTTCTCTATTCTGCTCACCTGCCTGATTATATTCTGCCCCCACTCCCCAGTTTTGGGTCTCTTCTGATTTGTTTAGCGTATATTTCTCTGGGGTGGTTGTTGTCATTTTAGTACTCTGTTCTCTCATTCATCTATTCTTCCCTGAACAGAATGACAAGACGGAAAAACTCACCTCAAAAAAGAGAACAAGAGGCAGTACTGACTGCCAGGGACCCAATCAATATGGACATCAGTAAGATGTCGGAACTAGAGTTCAGAATAATGATTATAAAGATACTAGCTGGGCTTGAAAAAAGCATAGAAGACACTAGAGAATCCCTTCCTGGAGAAATCAGAGAACTAAAATCTAACCAAGTTGAAATCAAAAAGGCTATTAAAAGATTCAATCAAAAATGGAGTCTCTAAGTGCTAGGATAAATGAGGCAGAAGAGAGAATTAGTGATATAGAAGACCAAACGATGGAGAATAAAGAAGCTGAGAAAAAGAGAGATAAACAACTACAAGGGGAGAATTCGAGAGATAAGTGATACCATAAAGCGAAACAATATTAAAATAATTGGGATCCCAGAAGAAGAGGAAAGAGAGAGAAGGGCAGAAGGTATATTGGAGCAAATTATACAAGGGCATGATATATTCAGGGTATTAAACAAGAAAAATATGCAGCCAAGAATACCCATCTAGGGGGTGCCTGGGTGGCTCAGTTGGTTAAGTGACTGCCTTCGGCTCAGGTCATGATCCTGGAGTCCCGGGATCGAGTCCCGCATCAGGCTCCCTGCTCGGCAGGGAGTCTGCTTCTCCCTCTGACCCTCCCCCCTCTCATGTACTCGCTCTCTCTCATTCTCTCTCTCTCTCTCAAATAAATAAAATATTAAAAAAAAAAAAAAAAGAATACCCATCTAGGATGTCATTCAAAATAGAGGAAGTGAAAAAACTTCCAGGACAAACAGACACTAATTTGTGATCACCAAACCAGCCCTACAAGAAATACTAAAAGGGGTCCTCTAAGCAAAGAAAGAGCCCAAAGTAACATAGACCAGAAAAAAATAGAGACAATATACAGTAATAGTCACCTTACAGGCACTAAATTCATATCTTTCAATATTTACTTTGAATGTAAATGGGCTAAATACCCCCAATCAAAAGACACAGGCTATCAGATTGGATTAAAAAACAAGACCCATCGATATGCTGTCTGCAAGAGACTCATTTTAGACCCAAAGACACCTCCAGGTTGAAAGTGAGGGAGTGGAAAACTCTTTATCATGCTAATGGACATCAAAAGAAAGCTGGGGTGGCAATCCTTATATCAGACAGATTAGCTTTTAAACCAAAGACTGTAATAAGTGATGAGGAAGGACACTATATCCTACTTAAAGGGTCTATCCAACAAGAAGATCTAACAATTGTAAATATTTATGCCCCTAACATGGGAGCAGCCAATTATACAAGCCAATTAATAACAAAATCAAAGAAACACATCCATAATAATATAATAATAGTAGGGGACTTTAACACCCCTCTCACTGCAAGGGACAGATCATCTAAGCAGAAGAACAACAAGGAAATAAGGGCTTTGAATGACACACTGGACCAGATGGACTTCACAGATACATTCAGAACATTCCATCCCAAAGCAACAGAATACACATTCTTCTTGAGTGCACATGGAACATTTTCCAGAAAAGATCACATCCTGGGTCACAAATCAGGTCTCAACTGGTACCCAAAGATTGGGATCATTCCCTGCATATTTTCGGACCACAGTACTTTGAAACTGGAACTCAATCACAAGAGGAAATTTGGAAAGAACTCAAATACATGGAGGCTAAAGAGCATCCTACTAAAGAATGAAAGGGTCAACCAGGAAATTAAAGAAGAATTTTAAAAAATTCATGGAAACAAGTGCAAATGAAAACACAACTGTTCAAAATCTTTGGGATGAAGCAAAGGCAGTCTTAAGAGGGAAATATATAGCACTACAAGCCTTTCTCAAGAAACAGGAAAAGTCTCAAATACACAACCTAACCCTATACCTAAAGGAGCTGAAGAAAGAATGGCAAATAAAGCCTAAACCCAGCAGGAGAAGAGAAGTAATAAAGATTAGAGCAGAAAAATCAATGAAATAGAAACCAAAAGAATAGTAGAATAGGTCAATGAAACTAGGAGCTTGTTCTTTGAAAGAATTAATAAGATTAATAAATAAGATTGATAAATCTCTGGCCAGACTTTCAAAAAGAAAAGAGGGTGCCTGGGTGGCTTAGTTGGTTAACTGTCTGCCTTCAGCTCAGGTCATGATCCCAGGGTCCTGGGATCAAGTCCCACATCGGGCTCTCTGCTCAATGGGGAGCTTGCTCCTCCCTCTCCCTTTGCCCCTCCCCTGCTTGTGCTCTGTCTCGCTCATTCTCTCTCTCAAATAAATAAATAAAATCTTAAAAAAAAAAAAAGGAAATAGAAAGGATCCAAATAAATATAATCATGAATGAAGGAGGGGAGATCACAACGAACACTGAATAGAACAATTATAAGAACATATTATGAGCAACTCTATGCCAACAAATCAGGCAATCTGGAAGTAATGAATGCATTCCTAGAGACATATAAACTACCAAAACTGAACCAGGAAGAAATAGAAAACCTGAACAGACCCATCACCAGCAAGGAAATTGAAGCAGTAATCAAAAATTTCCCAACAAACAAAGCCCAGGGCCAGATGGCTTCCCAGGGGAATTCTACCAAACATTTCAAGAAGAATTAATACCTATTCTTCTGAAACTGTTCCAAAAAATCAAAATGGAAGGAAAACTTCCAAACTCTTTTTATGAGGCCAGCATCACCTTGATCCCAAAATCAGAGAAAGACCCCACCAAAAAGGAGAATTACAGACCAATATCCCTGATGAACATGGATGCAAAAATTCTCACTTCACAGTAGAGTTACAGAAGGGAAAATAAACAAAATAAATAATAAAAAAGCAGCCCTACGTGAACAGCTGAACGCCATTGAAGCAGGCCTCCACTCCTCTCCTCAGGAAGCGCCCTTGCCCCCAAGGGCACTTGCCCAGAGGAAACACTAGTTTCTTTCTTTTTTTTTTTTTAAAGATTTTATTTATTTGACAGAGAGAGACACAGCGGTAGAGGGAACACAAGCAGGGGGAGTCGGAGAGGGAATAGCAGGCTTCCCGCAGAGCAGGGAGCCCGATGCGGGGCTCGATCCCAGGACCCTGGTATCATGACCTGAGCCGAAGGCAGACACTTAATGACTGAGCCACCCAGGCGCCCCTCACTAGTTTCTTCTGCAGTCTTCCAGTTGTTTCTTTAAGCAACAGTAAGGGAATATGAATGTATGTTCATTCCCACCATTTCTTACACAAATGGCAGCACACCACTGTACATCATCTTGGTTTTTTTCATAACAATGTATTCTAGAGATAGTTCCATATTGGTGCAATGAAAGCTTTCCTCTTTTTCCTTTTTTCTTTTTGTTTTGTTTTGTTTTTTCCTTAATTTTTAGAAGCTCTTACTCCACTAATAAATATGGCTTCATCAGGGCCCTGGGATCCGACCCACTTATGATTAGTGATGATTCCTCTTGGTGAGGAGCTAGATGTAAGTTGGAAGAGTAATGGGAGCTTTGGCTTCTCCAGTCTCAGATATGGTTCAAAAAACAATTATATGCTGTGGTCAGGAAACAGTAGGCGGGGCGCCTGTGTGGCTCAGTTCCCTGCTCCGCAGGAAGCCTGCTTCTCCCTCTCCCACTCCCCCCTGCTTGTGTTCCCTCTCTCGCTGTGTCTCTCTCTGTCAAATAAATAAATAAAATCTTAAAAAAAAAAAATTTAGCGGTAGGGGAGATTAGGTGTCAATACAGACTAAACACTTAATGTCACTTCTTCCTGCTCCGAGTCCCCTTGACACGGTAAAAATCCCATTACTGAAATAGACATTTGGGGGAATGCCTAGGTGATAAAAAGCTGATGGGATCAGATTGACAGAAAATTAGGAGAAGACGCAGTCCAAATCCTAAGTAGAAAGGTACTATAATAGCAGTTTCCAACAAAATGCTAGGGAATCATGGAGCTTAGAGTTAAATGCGGAGAACAGTAGGGAGTTCTGGGGCATCACCAGGATAATTCAAGTAGGCTCTCTGGGGGATTTGGGACAGACAGGCCTATCCCTCCTCAGTAGGCTGAGTTGCTGGTGGCAGCCACATTTGCCCAAGGATAAAGCCCTGAAAACTCGTTTCTCCATAAACACTCTAGCAGCGGAGAGCTCACAGAATTAAGTGCCAGGAGTGGAAATAACAACAGAGCAAACCTCACAGTTAACTCTGGAAGCCTGCTGGTACTGCTCCTCTTCAACCCAACCAGGGCAATAAGATGGGTCAAACAATGGAGGTGCCAATGCTGGAAGGAGATAGACAAGAATGCAATTATTTGCATGTGATAAGATTGCCCACCCGGAAACTAGAGAAAAGGTTGAAAAATTATTAGAATTAAGAGGATTTAGGACACTTGTAAGATGTAAAGTCAGCTTTCAAAAACCCAAGAGTTTTCTGCATCATCAATTACGAATTAGAAATTTTAATTAAAAAAAAAAGATCATATTCACAATAGTGAAAACAAATACACCAAGAGAAAATCTGAATACCTATGAATGAGGCCTAGCAAGAAGTAGGCAAAACCCAGGGAAAGAAGGGCACGTTGATGCCGACCTGCAATAGCACCTGCCCTACCTTACCTCCAGTTTCTGGGACTCAAGGGCCAGATGGGGTGCTCTTAGCCTCCCGATGGCAGCTAACTTCGGCGGTATGCCTCTGTCCCCGAGCTTAAAGGCCACAGGAACTGATGGGAGTTTCAGTCTCTCCTCATGGGGCCCCAGCTTCTTGGGGTTCCCTGTCTGCCTTTGATCTCCTCTGCTTTATATTCATCTTCTCTTCCCAATGGCCTCCCCCACCAACTCCAGGCTCCAGTGCCAGAGGCCCTGTCAACAACCTCACAGAGATTGCTTAAGCAGCCCTGTATAAACCAGTTTGCCGTAACAAATGGATATAAACAGGGATGTATATATCTGCTGCTGGTTCTACTTCTCTGGCAAACCCTGGCTTGAGACAGCACCTTTCAAAGATCAAGCCCCAAGTAAAACACCATCAATTCTGCGACACGGGCAGAAGCGTGCTCTCAGGAAATAGGTCATTGTTGGTTAGAGATGGAATATGGCATAGAGTGAGAATTAGTCCATTCATTCATTCATTACACGTCCGGGGCCCCGCACTGGCAAAGGCCCAAAGGAGGCTTGTCCTCTCTGGACTCCTGGTAATGACACAAACCTGGAATTCAGCAAAACTCTTCAATTGAGAAGCAGGTAGATTGACAATTTACACCCTTTGATGGAGTGATTCTATTCCTAGGACTTGTCCTGAGGAAAGATTCAGGGATGTTAGTAATTCGTACACCTAGGATGCTCATCACAATCTTATTTATAGGGGCACCTGGTTGGCTTGGTCATTAAGCATCTGCCTTCAGCTCAGATCGTGGTCCCAGGGTCCTGGGATCGAGCCCCGCATTGGGCTCCCTGCTCAGCGGGAAGCCTGCTTCTCCCTCTCCCTCTCCCCCTGCTTGTGTTCCCTCGCTCGCTGTGTCTCTGTCAAATAAATAAAATCCTAGGGGAAAAAAATCTTATTTATAAAGAGAAGCAATTTAAATGTCCACTATCAGGGAAGCATTAAAGAAATGATACAAGGAAATATTATAGAGGCACTAAAAACCATGTCTTTAACATGGGATGGGGGAGATCACATATTCAGTGTAACCCTACATCTGTGAGTAATAGAAAAAATACTGGAATACAATACATTGAAATGCTTCAGTTTTTATATGTTAGGGGTGAAATTATAGGTATCTTAAAATTTCTACTTTATATTTTTATGCATTTTCACAAGTACTCCATATTGTTAAAGTATAACTTTAATAATTTAAAAGGGTAATTTTAGAAATCTGAGTACCTACTAAGTACAATAGCAAGAAGTACTTTTTTGGATGAAGAACTGACATGCCTTTTTTTTTTTTTTTTAAAGATTTTATTTATTTATTTGAGAGAGAGAATGAGATAGAGCATGAGAGTGGGGAGGGTCAGAGGGAGAAGCAGACTCCCCGCTGAGCAGGGAGCCCAAGGCGGGACTCGATCCTGGGACTCCAGGATCATGACCTGAGCCGAAGGCAGTTGCTTAACCAACAGAGCCACCCAGGCGCCCAACATGTCTTTATTCTTTTTTTTTTTTTTTAAAGATTTTATTTATTTATTCATGAGAGACAGAGAGAGAGAGAAAGAGAGAAGCAGGCTCCCAAAGAGCAGGGAGCCCGATGCGGGACTCGATCCCAGGACCCTGGGATCATGACCTGAGCCGAAGGCAGACGCTTAACCGTCTGAGCCACCCAGGCGCCCAACATGTCTTTATTCTAAAGAAGCTTAGAGGCTAATAGGGAAGAGATTTTATGTTTTTTTGCTTTTTTAAAGTTGAATTATAAAACCCCAGCAGCCTTCTTAGGGCAGAGGCCCTTGCAATTTGGTTAAATGGTACTTCCTGGTGTTTAGGATGATTCTTGGTAGAGATGAGACAGTAATAAACATTTGGCAGTTGTTGTGTCCCAAATAGAGAATGACAAAGTCCTGCTGGATATCAGTCAAATGCCCCATAGGCCCCCAGCCTGTACCAAAAAAAGAGATGACATTGAAGACAGTTATTCATTAAGCCACCAAATAACATTTCCAAAAAGTTAAAATAAGAAACTAAGCACCTGTTCGTGTGGGCAGAGGGAGGATCTTAGGACAGCCTCAAGATTAAAATTTCACAGAGAAATGGGGACAGATTCAAAATTTTTACATGGTAAAGTGTACTGGTTGGATACAGAAAAAAATGAGCTATTTGAATACATATTACAGACTTCAGTCAGTCCTCTTATCTTCTTTTTCTAAAGAAAAAAGCAATCATTGTTACTGAAGGATAGCTATAGAGAATGCATATGTGGATTGAATTGCAGAACATATATATAACAGTTTATCCCAGAAGCACATGTATGCAATTCCATACATTTGGAATCTTAATTAAATGGATAACTTTATTTAAAAAACATATAATTTGCCAAAGTTGACCCAACAAAAGATAGAAAGTCTAAACAGACTGATTTTCAGAGAAAAAATCATGAAATCTGTAAGAATAAATTCCTCCAAAACACAGGTCACAATAGTTTCATAAAAGAATTCCACCAAACCTTTAAAAAGCAGACCACTCCTATTCTATGTAAATTGTTCCAGGGCATACAAAAAGGAAAAAAAATTAATTATGAAGTTAAGAATAATATTAATATCATTAATATCAAAACCTAAGAAAGATTACACACACAAACTATAGACTAATCTTACTTAAAAATATCATTGAAAAATTCTTTTTTTTTTTAAAGTAGTCTCCACGCCCAGTGGGACTTGAGCTCACAACCCTGAGACCAAGACCTGAGCTGAGATCAAGAGTCAGATGCTTTGGGGCACCTGGGTGGCTTAGTGGGTTAAGTGTCTGGCTCTTGGTTTTGGCTGAGGTCATGATCTCAGGGTTGTAGGACTGAGCCCTGGGTCAGGCTCCATGCTCGGCAGGGAGTCTGTTTGAGATTTTGTCTCTCAATCTCCCTCTGCCCCTTCCCCTTGTGCTCTCTCCAAAAAAATAAGTAAATCTTAAAAACAAAGAGTCCGACGCTCAACTGACTGAGCCACCCAGGCACCCCTGAAAAATTCTTAAATAAAATATTAACCAAATCCAGCAACTTAATAAAATAGCACATAACCAGAATTGTTCAACATGAGGAAACCAATTAATATCTTTTATCATCAAAATAGATCTAAGGAGGGGCGCCTGGGCGGCTCAGTCTGTTAAGCGACTGCCTTCTTCTCAGGTCCTCAGGTCGTGATCCCAGGGTCCTTACTGAGCAGGAAGCCTGCTTCTCCCTCTCCCTCCCCCTGCTTGTGTTCCCTCTCTCGCTGTCTCTCTCTCTCTCTGTCAAATAAATAAATAAAATCTTTAAAAAAAAAAAAATAAATCCAAGGAGAAAAACTAGAGGATCATCTCTGTGAGCACTATGAAGTCATTGAACAAAATGCTCAACCATTCCTGTTAGAACATTCAATAAAGCAGACTCCCTGGATACTTCCTGAACATGATTTTACAAAACATGAACACATAGGGCACCTGGGCGGCTCAGTCAGTTAAGCGACTGCCTTCGACTCAGGTCATGATCCCAGGGTCCTGGGATCGAGTCCCGCATCGGGCTCCCTGCTCTGCGGGGAGCCTGCTTCTCCTTCTCCCCCTCCCCCTGCTGATGTTCCCTCTCTCGCTGTGTCTCTCTCTGTCAAATAAATAAATAAAATCTTTAAACAAAACAAAAAAAACATGAACACATAAACTTACTCATGTGTGTGTGTGTGTTTGCATGTGTGTGTATGTCAGCCTAAAGCCAGCATACTATTAGTAGAAAAACATTGGAAACATTATCTCTGAAGTCCCGAACACAACCATCATTTCTACTATCACGTCAGTTTATTAGACTCTTAAAGCCATTAAGCAGGGAAAGAAATCAGTGGTATAAACCTGGAATGGAGAATATAAAATTAAGCTTATTCAGTAGATGACACAATTGTATCCTTGGAAAACCCACGAGAATCAGCTGAAAACTACTGGAAATAATTAAGAGGAATTCAAAATTTTAACAAGACACAAAATTCACATACAGGAATTAACAGCCCTCCCATGTGCCCACAACTGCCACCTGGAGTATATAATGAAAAGAAAGGCCTTACCTACAATGGCAACAAAAAGATTAAACACCCAGAGATACATTTAACAAGAAATGTTATATAAGGTAATATCATCATGACGTAAGACTACACACCCACCAGAAGAGTTCATTTTTCAAAACCGACATTATGAGGCACAGAGAGGCTGTAAAGCGAATAGACTGTCATATGTTATCAGTGGGGAATATAAATTGGTGTAAGCATTTTGGAAAATTATTTGAAAGTTAAACATGTTCGACATTATTTGCTTTCACCCAGAAGTTCTGTAGCAGAGTTTGGGTAGGGGCGTAACTGGGATGCTGGTAATGTTCTGGGTGGTAGACACATAGGTGGGTTGACTCTAATAATTCATTGTATACATTTCTCTTTTTTTAAGATTTTATTTATTTGAGAGAGTGAGAGAGAGCACGGGAGCAGGGTGAGGGGCAGAGGGAGAAGCAGACTATCTGCTGAGCAGGGAGCCTGACGTGGGGCTCGATCCCAGAATCCTGGGATCATGACCTGAGCAGAAGGCAGACGCTTAACTGACGGAGCCACCCAGGCATCCCTTCATTGTATACATTTCTAATTCACACACTATTTTATATTTGTGTCACAGCAAATAAAAAATGTAATGTTTATTATTTAAAACAATTGTAGCCTATATGCAAAGTTTAGACACTTGATCTCAATTGTCAGCAGGAAGAGTTTTCTTAAAGGCAAAGATAGAATACACCCCCTTAATTCTCTCAACCTCAGAGGGGCTAAGGTTGTGAGTGTATGCCCAGGACTTCTCTCTTCCTTCCGGCCCTAATTTGGATTCCTACGAAGTTGGATGACTTGCTCATACCTTATGCTCCTCTGCAAGGAGTATATTGATTGCTTACGTATATTTTCACACTTTTAAGATCTTTTTACTCCTTTTATCCCAGAGTGGAATTAATCAAAGGACATGGAGAACAGAATTAAGTGAAGTGTAGCAAGTCTCTCTATAATAAAGTCTCTTTTGGTAGCGAGTGGCAAAGATTCAATTCAAATTCCGGGTCCCTAACATTTGGAAATTTATTGGCTTAGGAAACTGGAGATGTACTTCACAGATGAACCTTTAGCTTCAAGCCTTACCAGATACAACTAATCTTACTAAGTAAGCCACTGTCCCTGAGCTCTGCCTTCCTCTGTGTTAGCTTTCTTCTCAGCAAGTCATTTCTCTCAGAGTGCCAGCAAATTAGCTGGTGATCCCACAGGGAAAAGCATGTCCCCAGGGGGTTGTTGGTTGGGCGGGGTGGGGTGGGTGTCTGGCTGGCTCAGTTGGTAGAGCATGTGACTCTTGATCTCAAGGTTGTGAGTTCGAACCCCACATTGGGTGTAGAGAGTCCTTAACTAAAAAAAAGAAAAGCATGTCTCTTTCATGATAGTTCTAACAAAAGTCCCTGGGTCACCTGGATATTCCTGACTCAATCACTGCGGCTAGGAAGATTTGATATTCTCACCAGACAGGAAACCCTGAGGTGAGGAAGAGGGGTCATGGAGTGGATTATCCTTGATAAAGAAACTTTCTTTTGCAACAAAAAGGGAGGGAGGTAGGAAGAGTA